AGGTTCTACCTGGGAAAAAGATTAGAAGCCCCAAGGTTTTAACATTACTGATTACAACTGATCAGGGAGTAAGAAACACTTGGATATGGAAGCTTCTCACTTCACTTTGAAAAAAGAAAAAAAAAGCAAGTATAAGTCCTTTTCTCACTGCACTGGCACTTTTACTCCTTGGCCATGACACAGAGGAGAGCAGCTGCTGCCTGTTCTTCCAAAGCCCTTTGAAGAATTAAGCTGAAGTTATGGATGGCAGCAGGCACCAGTGACAAATCAATTCTTGCCAGGGATGGATTTGGGAGATCCTGCAGGTGATATTACCAGCTGGAATAAGGAACAGATACGCCTCTAAAGGACAGTTAGTTACAACTGGATGTATTATGAAGGGATTTAAACCTCCCTGTTGCTCGAGGGGGGAAAACATGATAGTGAAGGGAGCATTTGAGTGAGAATACACGGGATGAAAAGGAGAGTTGAAATGCAGGAGCTTCTCTGTAGACTGGCTGGAGAGCAAAGCAAAGATTCTTCCCTCTGTGCCCCCATCCCAGTTTTAATCATGGGAAGATTATCTAAAAAAACCTGTGGTCTGATAACAACCAAGATGTACAATTTTGGGAAGAAATTATTGAGTAAAGCTCAATAAGGCTACAAGAATTTTAAAAACAGGAGAGCAATAAACTAATCTGATAAATAAAGCACAGCCGGTTTACACTGGCATCAACACAACTGCATGGTTCTTTTAATCACACTATTCAACATCAATCTTTGTTTATCCATTTAATTTACAGAAGCCAGCCCCAAAATTAAAACCTCCTAAAAATTATGATAGTCTCACATTTTCCAAGTAAAATAGAATTGTTTCATTTTGATTTGGTTTTGGAGCAATCAAATTGAAATATTTTATATACATCATACCGAGTGAGAAAGAAAAAAACAGCTGCATTTTCAAAAGCACTTAAGTGTTAGTAGAAATCTCAGTGTCATTTTAAAAAGTAGCTTTAACAAGTCAGATCTCATTGAAAACTATGCACATTTTCATTGCAAATTTACTTTTGAGAATTCAGCAGCACATTGCTTACCGAAACAGTAACAGGCAGTAGGGTTTCTGTACTTTTGAAGGTCTGCCTCTTAACGACCTTCAGCATTTATTACAAATGGCAAAGACTTCCACATTTAAATGCATTCATGCCTTTGGAGAGCAGGGCCCTTCCCAGTGTGATGATGGTATTTTGGAGCTGCAGACGTTCCTCGGGGAACGCAGCTCAAGGTCCCTCCTCTCCAGCTGTGCCCTCCTGACACATTCTCCAAAAGGGCTCCAAGAACTCAACCCACCTGTCCCAGGAGATAATCTGCTTTCTGCCTCTCCATTTTACCACCTCTGTCCATCTCTTTAGCCCTGGTAAGTTCTGCTGGTTAAGGATATAAATGTAAGCAGTGCCCAAAGTGTTCCATGTTTCAACTTCTCCTCTTTTGGATGCGGGATTTATGCCCTTTTCATACTCTCCCTGAAGGCCTTCTGGAGCCAAGTTACACCTAACTTGAACTTAAATTTTATTATATATCTTCCAGTAGAACACTGTGAAAAGTTATACTCATGGCACAAACAGATATAATTACTGGATTCTCACCAGCCCAGAAATGTCTGCAGAATCATGAGTGATTTTACCAGATCTGATTCTGCCTGTACTGTGGAGCAGATTGTTTACCTTCAAAAATATATATCTGAACAAATGTAGTATTTAATTAATTTAATCGTTTGATTTACTGACTGAATCCTATTATCAATATTGGTCCCTTTTTTCTTTTTTATCCCAGTTTAAAATGCAGCATACATGAGTGATTTTACCAGATCTGATTCTGCCTGTACTGTGGAGCAGATTGTTTATCTTCAAATATATATATCTGAACAAATGTAGTATTTAAAATTCTGAATTGTTTGATTTACTGACTGAATCCTATTATTAATATTGTTCCCTTCTTTCTTTTTTTGTCCCAGTTTAAAATGCAGCATGTTAGGTAAGGAAAAACTCTTCATTTTTCCTGTGGCAAATGCTTTTCCCCTTCAGGTACCTCTTACAACTCAACCTCTGCAACATCAGGAATGAACTGATTTCTACCTTTTTTTGCCAACAATGCAGGTACCTCCCTATAGGGAGTGGAGAGAGGTGTTCAAAAAGGCTCACAGAGATAATGATGATTCAGGCTGTTCCATTGATTAAGCAACTTGGCCAAAACCAGTAATTACAACTATGCTAAATTGCAGAGGAATTCTGTAGCATTCTCATTTCATGGGAAACAAGGTGCAAAGTTGAAGGAATAAAAGCCAACACACTGAGTTTTCTTACCTAATGATTTCTTGTATGTCTGCTGGGAAAAAACAACCTTAATATGGAGCTGGGATGATGCAGACAGCCAGGATGGGACTGACAAAAGTGGAGCCCACCAGGAGCCTCCAGTGGAGAACGTAAGTTCTCCAGTTCAGCAACCCATGAACACAAAGTGCAGATATTCTACACCATCACAGAATTGTTTAGGTTGGAAAACACCTCTAAGATTGAGTCCAACTATTAAGCCAACACTGTTGAGTGACAAGGTGACTAAACCATGTCCCTAAATGCCACATCCACAGGTCCTTTAAATCCCTTCAGGGATGGGGACTCAACCCCTTCCATTCCTAACATAGACTGGTAGACAGGCTTCATGCAACTCTCAGACATTCTAGTCCAAATCCAAACAAAACCAACACAAGTTCCCTGGAGCACTTCTGCCACCTCTTTAGAAGTGCAAAGAGTTAAATCCTCAAAGCTTCATCCGACCAGAAGCAGATTTCACCCCAACAGAAAGCTCCCACCTCAGACCTTCAAGCACATTAAGGTGATGCCTGCTCCAGCACTATGATTGGCACCTCTGTGTCTCTTAAACAGTTTTTTTTCACACTCCTAATTCCTTTACAGGACTGTTAGCAAACTCCCATACCATCTGAGCCTGATCTAAGGAGTAAACAACGAAAATTAAATTAATGTCATGCTCAGTAACATTTAGAAATTGCAAGCTAAGCAGCTGCCACTTATTCCTAGTAACTCAAAGTGTTTTATTGAAGGAAGTTTTCAAATAACATATATTGATTTTGTCAGATTTGGGCTTTTTTTTTTTCCCCTTTTACCCAAGCAACATATGTTGCATGTTCTGTACTCACAGGCCTACACACATCCAGCTTTCATTGCAGTCACTCTGACTCCTGCCAAACAGATGTTGAGGGAAAGCAACTGAACACAACATGGGATAAAAGCTGTCTCAGACCAAAATGCTGGGTTAAGAAAAACCTTGTGGGTAATGCACTATACTAAAAACATTGTTTATATATTTATATATAGAACTGATAGGTAGCTGAATTAATATTTGACTGCTTTTACTGAATTCATTCTATTAAATAGGAAAAAAAACCCCAAACAAATACTAAGAATTATGTTACAGGATGGCAACTACCAAAGTTCTTTTTAAGTTTCAAAGTACTTATATAATTCATTTTACCTAAAATCCAGATTTTCACTAGTGTCTTAATAGCAAGCTGAAATAATTTGACAAGTGATAAAGGGTTTGAAAAGGGATGGTTTTAAACCACCCTTTGAAATAGTAGAATGGCAAGTGATTCCCAGTCCCCAAACACAAAGTACTGAAGTATTATTATCCTGAGTCTGACAGACATGTCAGCAATTTGATGTAATTTGTGTAATACCCAATCTTAGGGCTTAGCTTACTGCAACACTTTGGTTGTGACGAAGCCTAATGACAGAATTCAGTTCAATTTACCCTCTGAAAGACAAAGAAGTTATCTTTTTACATTAAAAATCAACATTTTTCATGACCTGTACCCTTTCCCATTATGAAAGGAATTAGATTTGTATGAAGTAGAATCAGTTCAGTACATGAAACTGTTCATATTTACTTTTTCTCTTGCATTTAGTAACAGTGTTGGCTCAAAACATGGTACTACCCACTACAGGGGTTAAGACTTGGCTTAGAAAATGTAATAAAAGACAAATATAGTTATAACACCCATGTGGTTACTTCTGATGTAATTCTGATCTACTCAGTAACACCTCTTTGGATGACCATGACAACAATCTTTTCTAACTTCAGGTATGGGAGTTCTGCTGCTTCTGAACTGATACTGATCAAAAAAATCTGCAATTCATTACCTTTAACATGAAAAAGGAACTTTGCATTCCAGAGGCCAAAAATAAGCTCATCTCCCCACCCCATACAGAAATAACTTTCCAAAAGTTGGCAACTTCAAAAGTTGGTTCCTGCCTATTTTCTTCCACACTCACTGCTACAGAAAAGTGATTATACTCTGGCACAAGCATGTTATATAGACTGTCAAAGAAGCGAAAGGATTCCACATTAAAAAAAGAATAAAATCAAACCCAGTCAAACCCAAGTATTTTAAAAAACTTACATTCTTAAAACATGTCATAAAGAAAATAAACAAATCACAATCTTTCAAAGTGCAAAGGTCAATTTTTCCATCCTAAACCCATAGAGAATAAAGGTTTAATTTACCACATAGAGGAAAAACAACAGAGTTCACTTTTGTGACAAAAATTAGGCGGGGATTTTTTAAAGCACCAAATATTACAAAACATCATATCAACCTTGCTTTTCAATAGTGTTATTTGGCAGTCATCTGGATCTAGGACAGCTGTTCTATTGTCTGTATTTACATTCGATTTGAATTATCTGTGTTTTTCAAACCATTTAAATTAGAGATAATATATTTAGCAATAGAACATTATTAAAGCAAAACCTATTATGATTAGCACAAATTTGCATTATTAAAAAATGAATTTTGTATATGCTTATGAACATCTCCCAAGTGTCATGATAAAACCGAACATTAAAAAAATAGTCAGGGTTTGTAAAAAAGATTCCACATTTTAAAAAATTAGGTGAAGACTTAATGGCACCTGAGAGCATTTAGACAAAAAACTTGCCAAGCTACGTACCTGTAAATGTGTTGAATATTTTCAGCTTTGATTTCCTTGAGAATTTCATGGTAGATCTGAGGATTATTTGGTTCTTGAGATGTTGGGGGAGAAGGGCATTTCTTGTGTGCATAATATCCTATCACAATTCCAAAAATAAATAAAATCAAAGCAGTGCAAAATACTTTCAGTATCCGAAGAAAGCCGCAGCGGTTGCTCTTTGGTGCCTGTCTCGTGTAGTGGGAGATGTAGTCAGGGTCTTCTTGGAGCCTCTGGAATCTTCCCTTTGGAGAAGAGGAAGGCTGGATGGGCTCCAGGTCGAGGTCAGGGCTCTGTGAGTTCCCCAGGTGTTGCTGGGCTGCGCTGTCCAGTCGGAAATGGTCAAAGCCAGGCTCCTCCAGCTCTTTTTCCATGTCCCACTCCAGGTCCAGCGCTGTGGCTTGGAGCTCATCGTTGTCAAGGTATGGAGAGTGCCCCTGTGCTCTCTGGTCTGCATTCACTTTGTGATAGGCCATCTTTTTATCTATTGAAACAAAATTTAAAACCTAAAGGTTTGTTTCTATATACACACATAAACAATTTATTTATTCTTTGTAGACCTGAGATCATGAAAAAGACAATAAAGCCCAAAAACTGGGTTCTCAGTATTTCACTCTCCCCATTTCCATTGTCCTGTGTTTTGTAGGATCAGCAGTCCCATGAACATCATCATGGGAAATGTATTGTAACAATATGAATAAAAGGAATTTAAAAGTGCCAATGGCAAACCACTGAAATTATCCAATTATTTTGTCAGTCCTCGAGATAATATTAAAAAATTGAGTGAAGGCTCAGAGTTTCCAAAACAATTATTTGTTACCTGAAAGTAATTTTAAAGCTTAACAACTGTGTGCAACAATTTCATTTCACACACTATACAAAATAATGCTGCTAAAATAAAGTTGAAAAGCTGGAAATAATATGAATTGCCTGATCTGTTTCTAAACACAAGGAAATGATAAATTAAAAAAGAAACTTCAGGGTGACACTGTACTTACATATCAATAAAAGACTTCCATTTAGATGGAGCATTCTATTATTTATAGGTATTTTAAATGCATAGTTCCGGAATGACTGATGAATTTACTTAGAAATTGTCCCAGCTGTTTTGCTCCACTTATTTTTCCCATTTTAATGAATCAAAAGCACTGCCAGGTAAGTATTTGTAACAAATTCATTCTTTTAACAGCAAGGCATAACTGTGGCACTTCTAGATATTTCTATGGAGGTAGAAGCCCTCTACACGGAACTCTGACCTCCAGTACAAACACTCAAAGTCAATTTTCAACAAATCATCTTTGACAGACTGCAACAACAGGGTGCCTTTTCTCCCACACTCTGACAATAACCATTGCAACACATAAGCATCTGTAATTTAGGGCTTTTCAAACATCAGACTCACTTCTCAATTATAATAAAATGAAGATAAAGATATGAAACCTCTCATAGTGATGAACACTAGACTGACACCTACAACACTACATTACCACTCCATTTTTATGTTTTAAGGCATTTTCACTCACCAAGACTCACCTCCAAATAACATTACCACATAAGAGAGGAACCCACTGTAATGGCAAAGTGGAATTCAGCTTTTTGAAGCTCTCTGAAGAGAGCAAACTGCTTGCAAGCGCCAATATAATGAAACAGCCTATTGTCCCCTGAAAGGCTATCTGCCTCGATACAATACCAATTTACAGTGCCTATTTTCCCCCTACAGGCATATAAATATCCCTCACCTATAACTGTCAGACAGCCTGGGAACAGCCAAGAGACCCCACACGTTCCAAGTCACCATTCCAGTCCTTTTGCAAATCAATTCTCCCTCTGCAGCCCAAACTCTTCCAGAGGCAGTGGGAGCAACAGAGTTTACAGTGAGCTGAGCTAAAGCCTCTTAAATTAGTGTGAAAGCCTGCATTATTTATTAAATAACGATTGCAAATTTAGTCTTTAAATTCCAGCAGAGTCCACAAACAGCTGCAAAGCTGCTGTGGCTGCTCTCTGTGGAGTCTGCTAGCCCAGCCCTCAGGTTTGTGCAGGATCCTCTGAACTTCAGCACCACAATCCCCATGGTTGTGAATCACCTGGAGATCTCCCAAGGGAGCACTCTGCCTCTCCACCCGGGTTGTCAGGAAGATATTCAACAATGCCAGCCCCAGAAACGACGCTCGCTGCACTGAGCTTCCTGCCAAGCACGAAGTTGACATCAAACCATGTATTAATACACTTTGGAGAATTGAGATAACTAATTTTGAAGCTATTTATCTACCCTTTCACTCTGTCTCCTCTTCTGTTAATAGAAGGATTAATTTGCAAACCATCAGTGACAGAGATCACTGCTAGGTAATATCAACTGCCCAACAACTTCATCTTTCCAACTCCATTTCATATTGCTTTCTATTAGAAATTAAAGACTGATGTTTTGTCCTTTAAAGCAAAGCAAATCATCACTGCATTTCATAAGCAAGTAATTTTGGCTCTAGAGTTCCTGAAGTCATTTAACAAACTGGTATAGGCAAATAGGTAAACCCTTGGCAGATTACTACAGTAGTAGCCATAAACCAGAATTAAGGCAGTTTTTCAGATGGAGTTTCATGGCAAATATTAATCTTGCTGAGCTTATAAATGTTGACCATTGCCTATCTGTAGTAGTAAGTTTTCCTCGTATTTATGATATGAAAAAATTGTGTTATTGTTCAATGGTGTGTATTAATAAAGGTTATTTAAATCTACATATAAATGCATAATAAAAATTCCTATGAAATTTCTTGAAATGGTTATTATGCAGATGAGTAGCAGCCCCATTCCACAGCTTTGCATCTCAGGAATTCAATTTTCATTCAGAGCACCAAAACCAGTTTCCTCACTTCAAGGAAAAAAAAAAAAAAAAAAAAAAACACAACACAAACCACAAACAAACCAACAAAGATATGCCCTAAAATAAAAAAATCAATATTCAATTCAGTTTTATATTTGAGACCAGTCTTTGGAGTATGGGATCTTATTAGCAACACACGTCCTTTAGTTAAAGGATGCAAAGAATGCAAGAGTAGCTGCAGTTGCTAACTTCACTTTTTCCACTAATATTTCTAAGCTCATTGTTCCAGTCTAAGGACACAGCACAACTCACCTTGAAGCATCTGAGATCAGGGCCTGCACTGCATTTAACCATTCTAAAAGTAATTTTACAAAGGGTCTCCTGGTTCTTAAGGCACAGATCATTTGTGCCATGCAACTGTATCACCTGTTCTATTTAATATTTGATATTTAGCTGGTTAAGGAAATAGGCATAACTCAAACATTACTTATTAAATGTAATTTTGGCTTGGAACTGAAAGGAGAAAGAAAACACTACATATTCACAGTAACAGTGGATTGTGGAGAAAAAAAAAGACAGAAATACAGGAAAAAATGAAGTCAAGAAAAAAAACCACTACAATACTCTAGCTCAGTCTTCTTTATAACACAGATCATAAAATGAACATATTTTTGAAAGACATTTTTGAAAACTTCAGGAGATAGAATATTCACCCCATCTGCCAGCAAGCTGTTTCAAAATTTAATTGTTGTTAAATACATGGTTTATTATGAAGATAAAAGAGCAACTGCAAAATGCCAGAAGTCTGAATATGCACCAAGCCAGCTTTAAAGCCACTCTATAGGGACAGCAAAGGGGATCATAAACTCTGGAATACTGGACAGAGCCAAGCTGATGACCAATAAAGCTGATGTATATGTCTATAGTTCCACTGATTTGTAGGGAGAATGTTTATAGAGAGGTATCAAACCAAAGCTGAATATCCTTTCAATTAACTACACACAAGAAATCAGGAGAGTCAGCTTTATCAGATTGTTGTTGCCTTAACGAGCCAATTTCAAAACTCTCTGCCTGTGCTTTGACCTTAAAAATAACACATTTACATCCTGCCTGATAGGAACATCTTGTTATGGAGCCACCAGAAACTTCTTTTCTTGACAACTTTCCCTGGTTCAATCCCTTATCAGCAGTGCTTTTGAAAACTATGGAATAGGATCTTCATTAAATGTCACCCCCCAATGCCTCCATAACAGAAAAGTGAGTTTACACGAACATTTTGTGAAACCAACAAGGAAAAAGCAGTATGAGCATACTACTGTAAATTGATTGTGGCTGGTGCTGCAGTTGTTAAATGCAGCTCATAAATAGCTGAGACAATTAGCAGGCTCATGCCCAGCAGGAAGTGTTGGCAAGTGTTAATGGGCTGCCCACAGAGAGCCCTTCTCAGGACACTTAGGGCTCAGCACTGGAAAGGCAAAATTCACCCAGGAATTCTCCTGAAGGCATTGTGGCCTCTTTGTACAGTCATAAATCCAAAATTCCAGGGGCTGTTGGCTCAACTCATTTTGAAAGGGTCTTTCCTTTTTATTTTCTTCTCATTATCTTGTATATAGAGTGCTTTTCCCCTAGGTCCTTGTAATCATTTTGTGCCTAGGGAAACCCCAAAGTAAATGTAATATCACCTGTTTAAAGGGCCAATAGCTGTGCTTATCATGGAGCTCAACACCCACTGCACTTGAAAGGCTTAAAAGTATGTATGACAACAAATTAGTACTTTGTTAAACAAGATGATGCCAAGTTTCAGGCCTAGACAAATTTCTTCAGAGTTATAAATCCCTGACAAAACTTGTTTGCAGAAGAGATTATGATGTCCTTTTCAACAGCAACGTTACACTGCCCTGTAATTCAAAAATAATAAAGTGATATTTCCATCACTGCTGCCTTAATTCTGTGCAGTAATGATTTCTCCCTTCCCTCACCTATGGGATATGGGCTTGGCAAGCAGTTCAGTTACAGCAGGACAATTAAGGATCTTGTCACTCCATAGGGCGACCAGATAAAAACAAATTACAAAACTCACCAGTTGTTCACATTTCACTGAAGCTCAATGCAACCTGAAAGACTGATCAGTGTTGTAGCAAAAACAACAGAGAGATCAGACTGGATAAAGGTCTGTAAAACACACTAAGTAAAACACTAAGTTGGATCTGAAGTTGTCTCTTCATTAGTAAGTCCTTTTTGGTACAGATGAATGGTAGAGCATTTAACCTCTCCAATTTCTCATTGATTTTATTATATCACAAACAGCCAGGTGGACCAGGATACCATTAATATCAACACAAAGAATGGCCACATGACAGGAACAGGGGTTGTGGTGCACCCTGATTGATAAGATTTGTGCAGGATGATGCCCAGCTGGAACAAGAGTTAGATCTGCCTACAATCAAATTCATCAGCCACCTGAGCTGTAATTCCTGGACCATCCAGATGTGCATAGGTACATGGATATATTTGCCTGCTGCCTTTTTAGAATCTCTGAATTCCTGAGACTCACAGAAGGATTGCAGAAAGCTCCTTCTTCCCCAGTGGACAAGTACCAGGCAACAAAAAGGCAGCCTTAGCTGGTCTCTAATATGCTGGGCATGTATTACTAACCCAGATCTTTC